TTGATATGCTGTGTTTGTGCTGCTGTGCTTTATGACCAAGCATCTCCACTTTGGTCCTGTTTTGCTCCAGAAGTCTTGAGTCTTTTTCGAGAGAAGAGGCTTCCTCCCAGCAACTTTTCCAAACAAGCATAAACTTTGACATTTAACATGTTAACTGAGGCCTGCAGAAACTGAGCTGGACCTCTAGGGTTTTTTTTTTTTTGTTCACAGTGTCTGACCTTGAGTTGAATTTGCTGGCATGTCCACTCCTGACATGATTGTGTTACTGTGTTAACACACACCTGAAAGCTCCACACCTGCAAACTGCCAAACTTCTGCTTTTGCAGAGGTGCAGATAGTTGGTGACGATCAGTTAATCAAGTGCATTTAACTAACAGCACCTGGCTGATAAGTACTCTCTTATCTCCTAATGAAGGAGTAAGGGTGGATTTAGTTTTTCACAGGACTAAAAAGAATCCTGTGGAAAATTTCTCTTTCACGCCACTGTGTAGGTTTCTCCTGTCGTTTTGTTTCACGGGTACACTTGGAGATTGGATTTTATTAGTCCACTTTTCTCCTCCACTTGACGCGTCGACAATGTCTTGTGCATTTGGCATCACACTGCTCAGTGTTACCGCAGGTTATATTTGACCTCTGCTGACGGCTGCATCATATCCTCAGATAACAGCTGCCTCTCCACTTAGATTCACACCAGCCAGAATTAGAAATGAGAGAACAGACAAGGAGAGTCTCCTCCATGCTGACCTGCAGTAACCCATAGAAAAGTGCTGCTCACACTACATCCTTCTTCTCACCTTCAGGAAGGGAACCATAATCTCTGTCATACTCAGAGGCCTGAACATGAATAAGTGTCTTCAGGACTTAGAGGTAAGAGATGGATGAGAATCTGAGGGCTTGTTTTAACATAACAGGCACTGCCTTGATGAAAGATTGTCATCCATGTTCAGCGTTGGTAGAATCCAATGGAGATGATATGGATTGTATGCATGTATATATTGTAACAAGAGGGGAATAACAGCTATTAATTGTAGTGTCATTAAAAACCAAGGTTCAGTAGTGTCCAATGCTAATTTATGGGAGGCTTCAGTCTGTGATCACTCTGTATGTAAAAGATGGATGTAGCCAACATGAAGTCCAACTCT